TTAAGCAAATGTGAATGAAGACTCATTGAGCTTGAATATTCCTTTAAATTCTTACATAGGGCACATGGACAACACATGAAACCATCCCGCTTATTTGCCTCGGCCACACCTAAGAAATAGTGCACACCCTCAATAAAGTCTTGGAAGCGACGATCGGTATTGTACATCCAATGGCGTGACATAATCTGCATTACACGACAAATTATGAAAACCTTGAACATAATTAAGTATTTTATTACACAACATAGATGACACACACACGGTTGATTAATTAACTAAGCCTAGCTACAACGTAAGCAATCCCAACTATCACTAAACAAATTAAAACTACAATGCACTTCAGTAACATAATTATTTCGTGACCGTACGCAACTAAAACAGACAAATCATTCGTCTGTTGAATATCAATAAGCTTCTCCTGCTGGCTCACTGCCTCATCATCAGCAGCCGCTACCTCAAGCGCACCCAAATTCTGCACGTATGTAGCATAATCTTCCTCCCAGTACCAACCATCGCATCCATTGCCCTCCCACTGAAATTAAAGCCAAAAAATATTTAGTCAAAAATATTTAAGAAAAGCAGGTCAATTAGCCATAATAATCAAATGCGTAAGAAACTCACATCGCGATCCGGGCACTTGTAGAAAACACGACCCTTGTTGGGTCTCTATCTCTTGACTCGGTACTCCATCACAATCTTCTACTTACACTTGCCGCAGATAATGAGAGGGAGTTCTGGCCTCAGTCGTTTCGCAACCGAACGAGAGGCCGAGGATCCGGTATAAGTTGTCATCTACTTTCTATACTTATTTTTGCAAACTAGTGTAAATTTCACATTTTCTAAAATAATATATTTAAACAAAACTAAAATTATTTATTTATCTAACTAAACCATGAAATATGTACTATGTATAATAGTAAAATACCAAACTATTAAGTGATTTTACTATTGTAAATCATCATATGATTTTGAGCTAAAAATGACATAGAAATCACATAGCTCAAAACATGTTTCAATAAATAACCATCCGTACTAGTTGACCTTGCTTACGTGATCATCTCGGCGAGCATTTCTCCATCGGACAGCACCGTACTTGGCCAAGGAAGAGCTCCGATTCTACGAGGAAGGGAACACGGTCTTCCACGACCGTTGCCGCTCTCCCTCGTAGAATCAAAGCTCCTCCTTGACGTCCGTTACCGCTCGGCAGAGAACATGCTCACCGAGATGAACACGGTCCGCAAGTTCAACTAGTACGGATTTTCTATAATTTTCTAAGTATTTTCTAAGTTTTTCATTTCATGGAAAATTTAATTCTAAGATCACGTAAGATTTTGATGAACTAATTTAACTTTTGTTTATCCAAACATATATGCAAATCATCATGTGATTTTGAGCTAAAAATAACATAAAATCATAATAAAGTCCAACATATAAAGTTACATATGCATCTACATCACAAAATGAGATAAGCTACTGATAAAACATAAGAGGATTAAGTTTGTTACCTCCAAAATCGAAGAGCAACACCAATAGAGGGGGAGAGAGCAAGAACAACAGCAAGCTGAAGAACAGAGACAGTGAGTTTGAATGGAATGGCTCAGGCTCGAGGAGAAAGAAATGAGCTGGTTTATAGGCCGGGATAATTAGTCCCGGTTAGGGGGCCAAACCGGGACTAAAAATTAATCTTTATTCCCGGGACATCACCCAAACCGGGACTAAACGATTTAGTCCTGGCTGGTATTACCAACCGGGACTAAAGGTTACCTTTAGTCCCGGTTGGTAATACCAGCCGGGACTAAAGATCCCTGCCCCGCGGACGACAGTTGGGCAGGAACCTTTAGTCCCGGGGGCAAAAAATGCCGAGGCTAATGCCAAATTGGGACATCGTTCTAAAGTCTGTTCTCTAGTAATGAAGGGAGCAATGCAATCTGGTTACAAATGTAACTATGTATGTCTGCAAGATCAAAATATTTGGAGTATATAGTGTTAACGTGTGCTCTTATTGGTTCATTCTCGAATGGATTGTGTCGATTTTATATTGCTAGCAGTTCCATATGGATAGCTTGATTTTGGAGGCATTTTTAATAATGCTTCCATTAATGTTTGAAGGCATTGTACAGAACGTCTCTAAATAGTATTTTAGGCAGTCAGAAAATGCCTTTAAATGTCGATATTAAAAGGCATTTTGGAAAAATGCCTCAAAAGACCTTTTATTTCCATGTTTTAGACGGCGTTTTAATAAATGCCTCAAAAGGTCTTTGAGGGCGTTTTGATCATTTTTGGAGACATTTGTAAACGCCTCCTATAATGGGACGTGCTGTAGTGAGGCTACCAAACAACACCTAAATTCTACCAAGGTTTAGAGATTATTAAAATTTTGGCAAAGTCTTCATAATAAACTTGATCTCTAAACAAGCAAAGCATATAACATAGATAATGTAACCTCATAGTTAAACTATTATATTTGCAAAAATTAGAGAATTAAGCACAGTCTAAGTGATTGTGCTCATGAAGATGCTACTCCCGGCCCCATGCATATCACGTTCAATTGGTACCTAAAAACCAAATAAACACGAGGGTGAGTAAAACACTCAGCAACTACAATTAGAACCGGAAGAAGAAATACAACATGTGAATCCATGAACGAAGAACCAGAACGTCTAAGAAATAGTAGTTTCCATCTAAACCATTCCAGAATCGGCCTGGCCACCTCTGGCAGACTTGCTGCCACTTGATCCTTTTGCACCGGCTTTTCTTTGATGTGAAAATTGTGCCCATTGAAGTCGAATTTCATGCCTTGTGATATGCCAAATTTGGAATTTGGAAAAAGAAGCAATAATATGAGGGCACATATCAGGATAAATATTGAGTGATCCTTCCATAACATTGAAACATACCAGGGTCCTGTTGTACCGTCAGTAAAGAATCACCAAAGACTTTAACATGTTTCACCTCCATGGATTACAATATTTCTAAGCTGAACAAGATAATCATATTAGGCATTAAATGTTGGTGCATATGTAGTTTAATCAGCTTGATGTCTCAAACAATACCATTGTAAGAAATAATGATTATGCCAACGCCTTGGCCTTCTTTGCAAGCCGATTAATTGAAACAAAGCTTCCATGGGGTACAGATCAGCTAATTGATCTCATCTTCTAAATCAATTCCATGCTCAACAACAAAACCAGCGAAAATTTGACTTTTTAATGTTTTTAGTGGTTCAAAGGCCAAATCATACTTAATTAGTGTGTATGCCATTTACCGATCCTTTTTGCTAAGGTAGGCCAATATAACATATGCTTAGTTATATTGTCCTGGCAAACAACGGTGCATGTACTAGATAGTAAACAATGTATCAATTTACCACATGCATAGTACAATGACGAACATAACTATATATGCAGCTTTGAAATCAATGTTTTAGTTCTTAAATTCTTTTGATAATCTAAGATATATTCAGTTTCATGAGGCAACATAATATTCAGTTGTTCAAGAGAAAATGTTAATAGCCTCATGGAGAGCTTCATTTAATTCTAGCCTTCCAAACATATTGTTTGCCAATTCCACTCATTAGAAAAAAATGTTAGAGTTGCAATACACATTTATTGATGTCTCTTCTAGATAAGTTCTTGTACGTGGTTTTCAGCGGTTGCAATTTTAGCCTCATATTTGAACTACAACACACGTTAAAGAGGAATTTGTGATTTACAAATGTCTTTGACAATAAAATCAACTTGTCGTAAATCTTTAGTTATTAAAACAAAATACAGTTTTTTATTAATAAAACTAGAAGCATACCCCACTGTGGGAATTGCGGATTAGTGGATTGCGTGACATGTTGACGTGGACGTCTTACTGATGTGGACACTACAATTACATGTGCTAGTGGATTTTAATTTCAAGTGATAGTGCATTGCTGAGGTGGACAGCTTGCATGTTGAGATACATAGCTAGTGAGGTTTAGGATTATAAGAGATATAGATTTGTAGGTAAGAGCAACTTGCACATTGGAAATCTGGAACAACGTGAACATAGACGCAACGTGCTAAGGAGAAGTATGTTGCATTGCCGGCCTGAAAAAGTAAGGAGGCAACTCATACTAGAAGTCATGAATATCAACATAAATTGTTGGGTTCGTTTGAAGGCTGAGGCTGAGGCCAAGTCTACCAAGTTAATTGCACCGAACCAAACCACAACGACGACAAACTTCCATGGTTTTGTTGTGTTTTTCCCTTATAATCCTATAGTTTAGTTTACGCATACATCTATGTACATGTTGTTTAATACAACCATACAACAAATCATTGGACCATGTTTTAATTTTAATAGTGTTTGTTATTAGGCAAAGTTGGCTCCAGTATTAATACATGTGATCGAACAGAGATATCTGTAACATCGTAGAATTTGATTTGCTAAATTCTGGCCATGGATTAGCTAGATAGTAAAATTGTTAATTTTAATTTCCTTTCATAGTTATGGTTCTTATTCATTATGGTTTGTAGGAAACGTTAAAAGTATTGTGTTTTTTGTTGGATGAAAGTTAAAAGTTATTATCTCAATTTGTCATAAGTAAGCTAAGAGTATTGCATTTTTTTAGATACAGCCCTAGCACACATCTACATAGAGGACGTTACCGATCACAACCATAAACATGTGTGTCACACAAGTATATCTACTAGTAACTTAAAATAGTTTAAACATCTTCGATAGAATATAAACCACAGTACAGGCATTCCAACAAGTTTTCCCCAAACCATGTTTACGCAATCTGGTTCCCAACAAGAGTACGCAACCAACGAAAACAGTCCAAACCTCTTAGTCGACATACATACAATGTCTACAAACGCAGAGCCTACAACAACATGCTGACTTTGTGTCTCCAAGCCATCAGCATCCCTGCACCTCAGTCTTCAGCAATCACCATCAGCTTCACTAGCATCCGCACTGCTCTGAGTATGTTTCCCTGCAACGGCTGCTCAACATGACCACCATCAGTTTTACACGTCTGCCTCATCGCCCTTACTGTTCTGTTGTTCCACGTCAGCACTGGTTGCCATCCTTTTATTAGGACGACCATCAGTGCCAACGTCAGTGTCACCCTTGCGCTTCTGGCCGGGCTGCTGGCCTTCCTCTTTGATTCCAACCACAACTTTGCCACAAGCATCAGCATCTGTATCAGCTGGGTTATCCTTATGATCCTCAGCATTGTCACCCTCTTCGACATTAAAGCTGCAACCAGCTTCATCCATCTCCATACCATCGCCATCATCTTCCTCTTGGTCATCATCTTGGAATTCCTCATCTGTGTCACCACCACCATATGGAATGAACCTCCTTGGTGGTGTTACCTTCTTCGACTTTCAGTTGCAGATACTCAATCACATCCATTATGTCTCGGTTGATCTGAAAGTAAAAATAAATATCACCAAGCATATGTTAGGGACTCTACAAGTTTGATCTATCACACTTTGACAGATATATGTTTCGATAGATTGCCAGCCTTCCTTCTCGTTGGTGGCTCACGCATCCATTTCCAGTAGCCTTTGTTCTCCTGTAGCAGTTAATATAAACTAGTCAAATAACAGTTGAGTGATACTGCAAGAAGCTAGGAACAGATGATGTACATACATCGTAGGCCCATGAAGGTTGCTCATCTCTCCCATTTATATCAGTTGCACCTTCTAACTCCGGAATGTCGGGCAATGGCCTTGGTCGGTCACCATGACCATCACTGACAATCAAAGCCTATTGTGTCAGCCAGGACTATGTATAGTTTTTTTCCTCTCTAAAAGTTATGGTACAGTACTACAGTCTAATAGTCGAAGAAAAAAAAAGCAAGTGTTTTGTCAAACCTGGTCCAAGGTGCTGGTTCATTGTCATAGCGTACAAAGAGATACCTGCAGACTTTGAACTTCCCCTATATATGGAAAAGGCAGAAGCACAATTAAAACTTTTTCATAAGCACAATTAATTTGTTAGCTGGAAGGTACAAGCATGGAGTTTCTTTTCTTTTAGAAAAAGGACACTGTTACGTCCCTTAGCATCATTCGATGCATACAGCCTTACGAAAGCATGGGACTATATGCATTACACGTGAGAATCAAGTTACCTGAATACCAATCTTCCTCCAACATTTCTCAATTCTGTAAATTCCATCATACCTCACACCTAATTTAGGAGCATACAAAGAGTGTTTCTCTTTATGGGACCTATCAAGAGAATGTAATAATGAGACAAAAGTTCAAAGATAGCAACGGATAGCAAATTATCTCAATATTAAACAGTTCATAAAACCGAGAAATGGCCATATAATCATATGTACACCAGGAAAGTCAATAATATTCAGACAAATACAGCATCGGTAGACCATGCAGTATAACCTACTTGATGAACATTATTGTAGTTTCAAGCATATGCATATGCATGCCCAAAGAAAATAAACATACGTACCGCACAACCCGAACATATATGTGACTCATTCAAGCAGCTTTTTCGGAGAGCCTCATTCATCTTCACAAATGTTTGATCAAAACATTGCTCCTTATTTGTTCTCTTGTTTCCACTTAGATCCCTCCCGCCACTGCATTAGTATAGATTGTTATTTTATGCACATTTTAATATAGTGAAACATATATGTGACTAGACAAAACAAAACAGTAGAAGAGGATTTGTAGTCAAATTATCAAACCTTCCGGTATAAAGAAACCAATCTCCGTGGTCTTCATCATCTTCATAGCCTGCGGATAAGGCGACTGACTGAGCACCAAATCTGCTCTGGCCAGCAATTCCAGCTATATGAGGCAAATGAGCACACCATTGTCTACATTCAAATCTATCTGTCCATTTTTCTCCAACTCGGACGCCAGTTTCCCTAATGGGGTCATGTTCGGGAAGGATCGGTCCAAAATGATCTTGTGCAGTTGTCACAAAAATCTTGCTGCTCGAAGCATTTGCTTTTCCAGCTCGCTTCGCCCTTTCAGTTGTATATGCCCTGTCGGGCTTATCAACATTCTTTATGTAATGGCGATGCGAGCCAGTCGAATTAGTAGTCTTTGACATCCTGGCCTTACGGATGGCTTCATCCATTTTAGAGTTGATTCTAGGTTGTTCCACCATTTTGGATGGGATCAGTTTACGACATTTTGCACACACCCTTTTTCCCTTACGTGCCCATTCAGTGCCCATTCATTGAAGCACTTCAGGCAAAAATTGTGGCCACATGGTGTCTGCAAAATAAAAAGTGTATTACTTATGGTATGAAATGAATGTTTAACGGATGATGGTAAACAATGGAACAGAGGTATTATGGCTACCCGAAGAAAAATACACAAAGAAACAATATACATGTTTGAACAAAAGGTCAAATATGTCATTAAGAAAAAAGCATGGCTACAATTTCCAAACACAACTTTGCATAAAGACCAGTTGAAACAAAACATATTTCAAACTAATCTAACATGTTAAAAAAAACTTGACAATGCTACCTTTAGCAAAAATTCATATTAGCTCATTTCCCCATGAACCGCTGAACTTCAAATTTTAGATTATGTCACAACTTAAAGGTAAAAAACTCTAAGGGTTTGACACAGTGTCAAAATAATATAGAGTTTTTTACAAGGAGCAATATAGAGGTGAGATGTTCTGTGGACTTATAGTATACATAGTCTATTGAGCAATAAGGTGTGAATCATAGGTGGTTGCTTGATTAATCTAATGAAAATAAAAAAATGCTGAACCATTACTAAACATATAATAGAATTGGCAGAAATTTCTACTTATGTCCTTGTTGACACTGCAAATAAAATATCCATTGATCGTGGTCTAGAGAAATTCTCTTCTCACCTACTTAAGAAGTAGGAGGCGTTCCTCGCTTTCTCCTCTGCATCCCCCCTCCCCTCTGCTACTGGCCCCACGACATTATATCGCTCGCCAGCCAGCCATCCATCTAAAACCAAAAACAAAAAAAAAATAGTGGCCTCTGCAGCCCCTATGCACTGCCAACTTGCCCTCCCCATCCCACCCAGCCACCATCCCACTTTGCCACGCCGCAGCGCCACCAGGCTCAAATCCTTGTTGAGTGCACATACAATGAACATTGATCATAGTGTAGTGCAATTCTCTCCTACTTAGAAAGTAGGAGGCATTCCCCGCTCGCTCCTATGCATTTTGCTCCACTCCACTACTGCCCCCACCACGTTTCTATTGCTCAGCAGTCCTCCATCTGAAACAAAAAAGAAAAGAAAATAGCACCACCCGGAGCTCCTCCGCGTTGCTGCCCTACCCCGCCGTTGTGCACGCTCTGCCATGCCAAAGTGCTGCCCTGCCGTCATGCCCCACTCTCACACCATCCCCCGCCCTCCCTGCTCTGCTCGGTCGGCACCCCGTCCCCCGTCCCAGCGCCCCTGGCACCCGGTCCCCACACCTCTTCATCCTGCAGGATTAGCAAAATATGTCGGAACTTCAAAGGTCGTTGCTGGGGGTGAGTCAGCCATCAAGTTGGAGCTCCACGCAACGGCGATGGTGCCTGCGAAGTGCAACGCACTGGACGGTGAGCCAGCCTCCTCCCTCCACCTCCTAGCCTGTTCCACCAGGATCTCTTGTGCAGTGCGGCAGCCCCTGTGTCCCCGTCCTCCCTTGCCATGGCTGCTGCCACTGCTGCCCCAGACACCACCTCTCCATCCATCCCCCATGTGGTGGTCAACTGACAAAGCTGGAAAACCCAGCTCTACAGGAGCTTGCCCCGTATCGTGGATGCACGGTGTCTCCATCCTCATCCCCTCAGCAACGGCGAGGGCATCCCCATCTTCATCTCCTCAATAACGGCAAGCGGCCCTGGCCCCGCCTCAACGCTCTCCACATGAGGATAGGTGGCTTCGTCCCCATGCAGCCAGCAGCACGACATGATAGCAGTCAAGACAAGCCCAAATCCCTAGCCCCTCCATCATGATGCCAATGGTCACTTCTCAAATCGCTGCTGCGTCCTCCTACCTAAGCAGGTACTATCTCTTGCACCTAAGGATTTCAGCCCTCTCTTGTTTCAATTTCACAAGATCTGCTTGTTCCTACATGCATGCCAATTGCTACATGCAAATTTTTTCTTGGGTTTCCAATAGTAGAAGTTGTGTCTGTTTCTTTTCTTAATTATGATCAACATTACCTGATCTATTGTAATTCCTAAAGGAACCAGTAGCCGGTACTAAATACTTGTCAATGTCCTGCTAGTTAAATCCAACTGAATTCAGAGATACCCGAATTGATGGTTTGGTAATTAGTTCAGTTCAATACATTCTAATTAGTATTAACTAGCACTACGTGAAAAAACAGTTTGTAGCAACGGGGCTTTTTTTAGGGGCGGCTGGCATTGGAGCAGCCCCTACAGTGGCGTGCTCAGACTCCAGCACAGCAGCCGCCCCTACAAATGGCACAGTACGGGCGGCTGGTTATACGAGCCGCCCCTACAAATGCGTCGATTTATAGGGGCGGCTGGTACGTAGAGGCGGCCCAAAACAATCATTCAATCGCGCTGAGTCCGCCCCCTCCTCAGTTCACGTCCGCCTCTCCTCGCATCCACACTTCGCATCTACCCCCTCCTCGCGTCCGCACTTGGCATCACATCCACGTCGGCGCCTCCACCTTCTCCTCCACCAACTCTGCCTCCTCGATCCTCTTCCTCCAACACCATGACGCCCTCCTCCGTCGGCGCGGCTCGCGCCCTCTCCTCCATCACCTATGTCCCCCGCATCTCCCCTCCCCTCTAGCTCTCCCTCCGACTCCTTCACATCCGCCGTCCACCCGCCTCCTCTCCTTCCTGTGCGGTGGTGTAGGCAGTCTGCCACCCTCCTATCTTCCTCCGACAGCACTGTATCGCCCCTCCCTCCTCCTCACGCCACCGCCCCTCTTCTACTGGTGCGGCCACCCCCATCTCCTCTCCTTTCCTCTCTAGATCTAGATCTAGAAGGGAAATATGACGTGCCATTCTTGGGTTCGAGGTGGTTCAAGGAAGGCCATGCCGTCGTGCGACGGCGACGGTGGCAGGATCCCAGCGCGGGTGACTGTGGCGGGATCCTAGCGCAGGCGATGGCGGCGGCGGGATCCCAGCGCGAGCAACGGCGGCGGCAGGTTCTGGGCGCACGGACGACAGCGGCAATGGGATTCCGGCGCATGGGGTCCTCCTCCTTGGTGCGTTGTGTTTGCTCATGAGTAACCCTAGCCCCTTCGCTCCTCAAACCCATTGCCCTTGCAGTGCTGCTTCCTGCCATAGGTTAAATGCATTCATAGGCTAAGGCAGATGATGCTCACTTTATCCTACTTTAAGGTTTAACAATTCAAATTTCTTCAAACAATCTTTATGGGAAGGAATTTCTCCTAGCTCGCAAGGTTATTCACTTATTCTACTTACAACCTGACATCTCCGAGTTTTTTTCCCTATGAAACCAGTACAGAAATACTTTGCCCTCCATTACTCTTCGTATACTTATGGGACATGACTTTCCTTTCGGTGCAGCCTCTAATGGATAATTTGGAAGCTCAGACTTACGAGACATTTGAGAAGGATGTTGTGAAGTATACTCAGGTTCCTGTTGTATGATGTGAATATGCCCTTTGTTTTATATATTATAGCTTGTGAAGTAGCTACTATCTTGTTCATATTTATTTTGAATAACATGAATGCAAAATTTGAAATTCGAATAAAACTTCTTATCTGTTTCCACCACGATTTCAAGCATCACATTATATGGCTATTCTTGAAATAATAGTTTACTTGAACTGCTGTTGAACCTGGTTTGGCAAAAGAAAACAAATAGTCAAATATTATATGACCATAATGTTATCCTTTTCTTTTCCCTGTGACTTCATGTCTGCTTATTATTAAGTCCAATACTAGCTTTTGTTGATTCTTTGTTTTACATCATGTGAGCGATGTCGAAGCAAGCGGTTGCTAAGGCCTTGGTTGATAGGGTTGCGAGATGATGCGATCTCCACAACTAGGACGGTAAGATTGAGCCTTAAACTTTGATGTGTTTTGTCCTCCTAAATTTGATGCATGTAAACCATACTTTCAAATGAAATTTTAGGATACCGAAAAATTTAGGAGATGAAGTAATGGTATAGCTCTAAATAAGATTAGAGGCTTTATTTTCTCTTTGAGATGGCATAATTGCAAGTTAAGCGTCACTTAAGCTTGAAGCTTATGAGCTTCAAAGAAAAAAAGAGGATCTTGATTAATTTGATGTCATAAGGATACAAGTGGAACACCCTCTTGAAAAATGTAGTACAACTGTATCTCTCTTCAATTGAGCTAAATGAAACTTTGACATTGCAGGCATTGAAGAAAGCGGCCATAGTTAAAAGTATATCTTTTGAAAAAAAAAAATCCTAACGCTGTTATTACTCTTCATGTAAGTTATTGAGTGGCTATTCTGTCTCTTATTTATTCAATCATGTCCATTAGGCTGGTACTAAACTACTAAAGTTTGTCAATGCAATAATTGCTGATACAATCATTTTACTTGTTGTATTGCTATATCTACTATTGCCTTCTTGTATTCCATTAGTATATTTTGATTTGATCTATTTTGGGTGCTGAAACAGAGTTTGATCAAATTGGAAGTGGTCATGTTAAACCTTTCCAACCTGTTAATTTTAAAAACCTCTTACATACCTACATGAATCAGGTAAGTGAATTGCTTGGGTCCTTTGGTGACAATGAACTATCCCCTGAGTTTCTTGATGGTGCTCAGCGATTCTTGAAGCTTGATGGGATTTCCATTCCTTCATCGTACGGGACCTTTTCTTATACATATATGTCCTTAATTCCTGATGTAAAAAATATGTTAAATGTCATTTGATTGTCTGCTTATGTTTCTTTGCAGATACACCAGTTTCATCAAAGTATACTGCACTGGGTTGAGAGTTATGCTACATTCACTTAGGTAGAAATCCTCAGTACCAACATCTTGTGCTTGTGGTCAGATTTGAATTATATATATATATATATATGTGTGTGTGTGTGTGTGTGTGTGTGTGTGTTATGGTTGAATTTGAATTTTTTTGACAGAAAAATGTACTATAGGGGCGGTATATATATATATATATATATATATATATATATATAT